CAACCCCTGAGCCACACGGCCTACGGTTTAAGCAATTAATTAACTAGTAAGTTTGAAGTAATCCATTAGATTATTCACAGGCATCAGGCACTGTTGATGGTCTTGGGTTTCAGTTTCACTCCTTGGGAGATCGTTAAATCCCCACTAGTTTAATACGTTTATAAACGATTCAGAGATTTGTGATAACCGACCAAGACCACTAGACGGCCGTTTCACCCTACTTCTGTCTTAGGTCCACTGTTTTCTCTGTTCTACATTAACGACCTCAGCATCGACTTATAAGTTGGCTTCCGAAGTAAAAATCTTCTGGGTGGCTGCCACTGAAGTGGTTCAGAGGGGCCTCGATAGAACCTGCGCCCGGTCGGCGAAATGGTATCTGCCTCTCAATACTCTGAAATACCACCAACTGGTCAGCAGCTGAGGTAGGCCACGCTCCAGAACACTGGGGCCCTCGGCCCCATCTCAACAGATCCCCACGGTGTCTCCTGTCGAAGATCTAGACGTCTTTATTCGTGCGAACGTTGTCGAGAGACATCACAAGCGGCATCACGAGCCCTATACCAGCCAAAAAAGGGCAGTGAAATCCAAAATGCCAAAGCCTTTCTTCTTTGACAAGGCTTACGTGCATCTCGAGTCCTGTCTACATTTAATATACGATTATTTCGCAGTTTTATGTACAAATATGTATTGATGAGCATAGCGGTATACAGTTTTTCACAGAATGGAATGTTCGTCCGTCACTAGTGGTTTATCTGTTCACTTGTTTTCTTATCTCTGTATGTTATGCCACTTACTAATTTAGCAAGTCGTATTTTCTTGGATATCACATCGTTGGTTATATCGAACCAGCTAGCGCTTTCATTTATAAAATGGTTGCATTATGTTCTCTTTTGTTCCACCTTTCTCGTTTCAGAATCAAACGGAACCAGTGCAATACGTTGAGTTCACTGTGCTAAGCAACCACGGCCATCCAGTCTACACATGTGTGTATCGTCTCCGTGTTCATGGTACGATGGCTGAATAGAGGGTTCACTTATTCCTAATTTCCCTTACCCGAATTTCTGAGTAATGAGAAGCAATCACACGTGCCATCCACACGTTTTATCCCCTCTTTGTAATACCATTTGCACTGTGAGGTATTCTCAGCGTTTAACATTTCCAATGTATATATGCAGATTTACATCCCGCTGTTCATCCACAAATCTCTTCCCAATGTTGTTCGCTTACCTTTCCTTGAAGTATTTCACCGTTCAATTTATCGCTTTCTTTGTTCCCTAACCATGTGATCATCTGTGTAATTCTTTTCTTTTGTGTCGCTGTGCCTGCGATTTTCGTCCCTCATCTCTTTTATTCCGAAGGAATGATTCGGATGGTTTTGAAAAATCCTCCGGTTCTGGCATTGTTCGATGTGTCACCTCTGTCGTCTTTTGATCTCCCGTTTATGGGACTGTTGGCTTCATGCGCCTTACCGAGAATCACTTAAAGAATGGTTATTCTACTACTCTACTCCCACAAGGCGGTCACGTAATGAATTGTTTTTAACCAATATTGTTTCTTTATATTGATTTCGGTGTGTTCTCCGAACTGGAAATGTTGCTCGCTAGGCTAGGTAGCATCATCAGTGCAACTTAGTGGAAGCGTCAGTGTGACCGCGTTTATATGGTTCTGCTCGAGGGTTTTGACTGACTGTCTGCGTCTCTTTAATCCTATTGGTCAATCGCGATCATTTTTTATGACTTGATTGACCGATTAGTTGTCATTAGTAACCCTTCCTTTTTTCTCATTGGTCGATTGGCTTTGCTGGATCAACTGCAAACTTGTTCCAAACTGGTTTGGGGTCTGTTCTAGCCCGGGGCAATCTTGGGTCACCAGTGTTTTCCTGGATACTTAGTGATAAATGGGTTCCAGTTCCATATGCTGTCTCTCCTGGAGTGCCATGCTTCGAGGAATTTTCGTATGGTTGTTGTTGTTCCTCTTCCGACTATTCTTGCTTCGCCCAGTTCGAAGATGTGTTTCTCAGCATCCATGCGGTTTGCTATTTGCGACTTCAAATCGTGTCTTCACCGCCAGTATGTGTTCGTGTAGTCGGGTTTTGAGTTTTCTACTGGTTTGTCACACATCGTATTTGTCGCAGTTTCGACATTTTATTTCGGACACGACGTCTGGGGGATCTTCCTGAATGCCTTGATAGGATAGCCTCCACTGTCGCCGTTGTCTTGTGTGCAAATAAAATTCCTGATATTTTTAACCCGGCTTCCGTTTCCGATACTCCTAGTAGATATGGCGGTGTAGATCGTGAGAAAACTTGAGGAATTATTCATCCTAAAGCTCTTTATTTCAGAAGTCTAATATAGAAGCTAAAACAATGTGCAGGTAAGAAATTGAGGATGAGAAGGTGAACCCGGCTGCTTTGTCAGCATGTAACGCGAACCGTCAAATACAAATGGGAGGTTGGCTGTGTGGGTTTCCATCTTTAGGAATCCTCGATGACTATTCGTGAAGAAGCATTCACCAAAAGCCTTTGTATTTCACTAATTAAGCCTTGGATCTGAATCCACATAGTGGAAAATAGAATAGCAAAACGGTTCTTTGTACCTCATTCAATAGGAATCTGCGATGATTATTCTTGAGAAAGTATTCTACGAAAATCTTTATATTCCACTAGTCATGCATTGGAGCTCAACCCGTGTGGTAAAACGGAGGTGTGGACCCTCTCCATTATTAGCCTCAAGTGAGGAATTATTCAACCTGAAACAAATTAAGCTTTGAAGCTAAAACAATGTACTGATAAGAAACTGACGGTGAGAATATGCAAATAGTTGCCTGTCACGAGAGATTCAATGCCGATGGATCAACGGTTTTTTCAACCTTCTTCAGTGGGAGGTCTCGGTGAGCTTTCTTAAGGAAGTTTCTGAATAGCCTTTGTCTCAAATTGACACTACTTTCACACACTCCGCACCATTGTACACCTCACTACTTTGCCCGCGTGGTGTTGATTTCATCTTCCCACTGATCCGTGCCTGTGAATGTTCTTCACGCCGTTTGCACATACGTACGCACCATCAGTATATTTTCTCCATTACGTTACCTACGTTGGTCTCACCTGTCTCATCCATTATCGACTGACCGAAACCTGTGTACACACACACCGAGGCTTATCGCACTGTCATATCACGGCAGTCCCTAATGGCTAACATTCAAACCCACTGTATTTCGATTGGTTCCCTTCAGGTTACTTCCCACCGTTGCCTATCACGGATGCATGTGGTCTTGTTCGAAACTTTGATGTTTTCGTTCCGTTGTCATCGCGTTGCGCGTGTGCTTGCTCGCGGTTCTTGTTTGTTGAATTACTGGTCTCAGAGATTCCGGTGTTTGTTAAAACGGATAGTACCACAGTATGAGGTTTGCATATATCTACACTATAGTAATAGGTATTTCTGTACTGTTTTTGTAGAAGAAACCCATCTGTTGTAAGACCGTTTCCCGGGTGTTTACGCGTCATTCGCTCTACGTGGATCGTTGTAGCCTACGAAGTCAACATAAATGTTAATCAAAGATTTTATATCCTGCTTCAGATTGCAGAGGGGGTGTGAGATGCGAGCACTCCGGTTTCGGTCAACATCACAGTCCCCTGCACAAAAACCGAACGTTTCTCGCATCAACTCCGTGCGCTACGGTGTCTCCAGTTGCTACCTAGGTTTCACTACAATACTTTTGGTAGACCCCAAGGGGAGCCGTGTAATGTACGCCTTCCTGGATGACTGTTCTGACTCCACTTTTCTCTCCGTGGATGTGGCCCGTTCTCTCGGTCCAAATAGGACCCCTATTGCGCTAAATATTACCTTTCAATGGTTCAGGAGTCTTTGGTACTATCTATTGATATTGAACCGGTCAATGGTTCATATCAAACGACCTTGGATAATCTGTATGCAGTACCCTAACTCCAAATATCATCGGCCGGCGTCCTTACCGAGGCGTCTCTGAAACAGTGGCCGCACCTAGCATATCTGAAGCTTTATGTCGCTCAAAATTCAGTCTCACTCTTGATTGGTACGAACGCCCTGGAAGCTTATCGGAGGTATTAACATCTCATTCAAGGCTCGATAGTTGATGACATCAAGAGATTCTTTGATGCCGAACTTATTGATCAGAGTTCAGTGACCCGAAAGTCTTCCCGGGTCCTGGCTTCTACCCCCCATTCTGTGAAGCTGGTCGGTGGGCATTACGTGGTGTCGAATTCGTGGAAAAATCCTTGGCCAGATAGGCCTGACCGCACGATGGTTGAGGGACATCTCCAATACTTGCATAAACGTCTAGGATGGGATGATGACCTACTGCGTCAATATGCAAGCATACTCAAATGACACGGGACAAAAGGTTTCATGAGCCGCGTAGAAAGGTCTTCATTTATCCGGGGGTTCGTACCACGCCATCCCGTAACTAATACTCGCAAATCTGAAAAAGTGAAGATTATAATCGATTGCGCCGCCATCTTCAAAGGTCATTGTTTGAATGATTATCGATACACGGGTCCAGATTTAGTGAATGAGTTAACCGCCGTCCTATTAGGGTTTAGAAAAGGAAGTATAACGCTGTCCGCAGATATCAAAGAAATGTTCTTCCTAGTCCGCTTACCGACTAACGACAGTTTAGCGCTTAGTTTTTCAGGTATTCACATGGACCTGATAAACGACAACAAGAACACCACTGCTGCCGGTTCGCTACCATGTCCTTCAATGTCTCCAACCAGCCAGTTGTGGAGTCTTTCGGACCCCAACCTGGAAGGCGAGAGACACCTACTCTACCTAATGGCTCTGTGTATTTCGTCATGCCTCGTCTCCACGTCATCTGTTGACCTCCATGTGGTTTTCTCCAGCCCGGATTAGCCACAGCGAATAAAGCGCGGTGCGGCAGACGATGGCTGGGCATACGCGTAACGTGCCCTAGCAATCTAAATTCGGTGTGCTAGCAGGTTTATACTTGATAGACTCCCAAACACACGACGGTTTTCCTCCACGTTACTAACCCGTCAGTAAGAATAGGGCCACATTGTCAGGTACAGCTGAAAACGAAAAGACATCCGAATCGATCAGTCTCAACGTGGGCGGGTCACATGCAACTAAGACATTGGGACAGTTTCGGTATATGAATTCAGGTTTTTTTCAAAATAGCCCTTCCTCAACAATCACCAACGAAAATGGGCATCCTGTCCTGTTCAGCCTCCTTGTTTGATCATCGCGGATTTTCGGCACCAGTGTTGTGACTACCAAAACCACTGCTCCAGTCTCTATGCAATCAAAAATCCAGATGGGCTGATCCTATAGGGCAATCTTTCGAAAGCATGTGGAATACGTGGTTAAGGGAGATTGGAAAGGTCGAATACCTCAAGATACCGTTCTCTCCTGCTGGCAGACATCCACTTAGGTGGCGCAACTCTGCATGCTTACAGTGACGCCTCTGAAGTTGGCTAGGAATCAGTTGTCTTATATGCGGTTTGAGTTTCCGACAGGAAAGGTCAACTGCAGTTTTGTGATGAGCGAGTGGCCCCGTTAAAACCGGTAACTATATCCCACCTTGAGCCACAATCCGCCGTTTAGCGGTTCAGTTTATGCAACATGTGGTCAAAGAGTTAAACTTCAATAGTGATTACCTTTATTTTTAGACCAACTCGACGATAGTTTTGCACTACATCCTAAACACCAAATCACGAAATAAAACCGTTGCAAGTAGGATCAAATTCATATGTGAAAATACGGTCCAGTCTCGGATGTCTTGTGTTCCAACAGCAGACAGCTTCAAGGTTTAATTCTGCTCAACAGAGGGATCTACTTGGCCTGTGGATTAATTGTCCTTCGTTTTTGAGCTCTGATCCGGACGACTGGTCAAGTCTGAAAAGCTGTCACCTTGTTCCACCGGATTTCCCGCTGGTACTGTAAAGGGATACTATTGTGGCAGTCACCACCACCATCCAAACTACGGTGGATGCATTGCTTTGCTATTTCTTCTCATGGAGCAAACTCCGGA